AAGTGGGAGGGCCCTTCATATGAAAATGGGGCTTGTGGTAGTGTGCACAGTCTAAAAAAAAATCCGCAGCACACAGTGCAAATGAGAAAAAAAAAACTTTTTTCCCTTTTTTTTTTTAAAAAATCAGCGACTTTGCAGGTATTTCGTATGGTATTTTTTGTTTTTTTCTAGTTTTCTTGGTCTCATTTTATAGAAAGGAAGACTATTTCTGAAATTGAGATGATTTTGACTGGTTTTACAATGAAAAGGGCCTTTAAATTTTAGCTCAAAAATAGCAGAAATTTCGATTTTTACCCCAAAATTTAAAAATAAAAAAATCGTGCCCAAACGTCCATACAAAGTCAACTGGGGATCTAAATTTTTACAAGTGCACCAATAATTTTATCCATTTTTTACACTAATGGATGTCTGCATAACATAATCTTATATTTTTTGTGAGAAAAAAATTCAAAGTGGAAACAAAAGAATATAAAAGGGGCCTTGGGTGACTAAAACTAAGGAAATGTCATTTTTGTGCAGAAGTCTTTTTGTTTTTTCTGGACCCTATTCCGAAATTGGATCTTTTGAAATTTGGTGAAAATTGGCAAAATTGTAAATTTGACCACTGTACTGGATAGTTGAAATTTTTAAATGGGGGGTTTCTTTCACCCCTTCGATAGAAAAAAAGGGGGTTTTAGCGAAATATTCAGTTTTTTGTGATAGTACAGTGAAATTGCCGAAAATGGGGCTCAAAGTGGGCAAAACGCGCCAAACATCGCCCAGACCGCTAACTTTGCGAGAGCAAATTTTCCGTAGTTTTCTATCAAAATTTTTAAAATTTTTTGGGGGTCGTTATGTCGGGAAAAGATTCCTATTTTCATAAGAGAAAATAATTTTTTTTTTTTTTTTTAAAAAAATTTCCCGACCCGAGAACGAGTTTGGGGGGCCTGTCGACCCTTTTAAAGGGTTTAAATTTTTTTGTGTTTCTCACTTTCTTTTTCCAAAGGTTTTTATAGGAAGTTTCTTTGGGGCCAGGTTACTTATTTTTCAGTTACACTTAAAAATACCACCAACAACAATGGTTTTAGCAAAAAAGTTTGGATGATGAGAAGCTCCTCACTCGCCCCCGAGACACATAGCTACAGGGAAGTGGGTGGGACAGGGGGTTTACATTCCCTCACTGTAAGCAAAATAATGGCCAATAACCGGAAAACCAAAAAAAAGGCCCTAACCCAAATTGGGATAAGGAAACGGGTGATAACCCATGGTCCACTATGTCGTCATAAAGGTTTAATGCCCCAATTGACCTAACGTGTACAAGCCAATAGTTTAACCGGAGTAGGAACATATGGGTTTAGCAAAACTTTTCTCTCCGTTTTTGTATACATTTTGATGTAATTCCCCTTATTGGCCGAACGATAATTTTTCAGCACTGGGTTTAAGCATTATCACTGTGATAAGGGGATTTTAACTTAGTGAGCATTCAGGGGTTGATCATGACAGGTCAAAATGTATTGCAAGTTTCCTTATAATAGCTGACCGTGTTTACCTAGTAGCAAATCACTCAAAAACCCGTTTTCTGTTATACAAGGGCATGGAACTAAATTTCATATGCATATTTTTTTTTTAAAGGCTCTTGGTTCTCTGGGATCTGGTGTTAGCTGATGGTTGTTCCTTTGAAAACCCTTTGGGGAAAAGAACCCAAAGGATCTCCTGTGGGTTGCTAAAATCCTGGGTTAGTAATTCAAATAAAATTGAGCTTAGTCAAATTGTGCTTCACATTTTTATGTACTGTATCTCCCCAGCTGCTACCTGAAGTTGCAAGATAAGATAGGACTTTGGATTTTTAACCCCGGAGGGTTAGCCACCCAGGATAATCCAAGAAAGGTGGTGCGTTATGAAGGACTGTCTGTCTTATTTCCATTGGGTCCTCAGTCTTATCCCCCAGGATGCAACTCACACCAGTTGACTAACACCCAGGTACCTACTTGCTTGCTATGTGAATAAGACAACATGTGTAAGGAAACACACCCAGTGTATCCAATCTTGCTGGGGATTGAACCACAGACACTCAGCATGTAAAATGAGAGCATTGCCTATGAGGACATGGGCCACCGTACCAGGCCACTGGCCACCGGTCCAGTGATGTGTGTTGGTGGTGGTGGAAGCTGTGATGTACTCATGTATTTGTGATTGCAGGGGTCGAGTCATAGCTCCTGGCCTCACCTCTTCACTGATTGCTACTAGGTCCTTGTCTTAAAACTATGTATGGTTCCTGCCTCCACTACGTTACTTTCTAGACTATTCCACTTCCTGACAACTCTATGACTGAAGAGATACTTCCTAACATTCCTTTGACTCATAGGAGTCTTCAACTTTCAATTGTGACCCCTTGTTTCTGTGTCCCATCTCTAGAATATCCTGTCTTTGTTCACCTTGTCAATTCCTCACAGTATTTTATATGTCATTATCATGTCTTCTCTGACCCTCCTGTCCTCCAGTGTTGTCAGGCCGATTGAGCTCAAAGTAGCAGAAATGTTCGATTTTTACCAAAGTTCAAAAGTAAACAAATCAGACTAAGCGTCCAATACACGTCAACTGGTGAGTCTAATATTCTTTCACAAGTGCGCCGATATTATTTATATCATTTCTACACTAATGCAGTAGTCTGCATAACAGTAAATCTTCTATTTTTTGTGAGAATAAAAATTCAAAATGGAAAGCAAAAGAATGTAAGAGGGGCGTGGGGACGTGACTAATGAACAGAGGAAATGTTATTTTAGTGCCAGGAATGTCTTTATTGTTTATTCTAAACCCTATTTGGAAATTGGCATCTTTTGAAATTTGTGTGAAATTGGCAAAATTGCTAAATTCTGACCACTGTATTGGATAGTTGAAATCGGTAAATGGGTGGTTTCTTGTACTCTTTCGATAGAAAAAATGAAGTTCTAGCAAAATGGTTACGATTTTTGTCGACTAGTACACTGGAATTGACCGAAAATAGGGCTCAAAGTGGGCAAAATCGCCGATGCGTAAACATCGTCGAGACCGCTAACTTTGCAAGAGCATAATTCTGTAAATTTAACATCAAATTTCATACTTTTGGTGTCATTATGATCGGGAAAAGATTCTCTTATCTTTTCATAAGAAAAAATAATTTTTTTTTTTTAAATTTGGGCAACCCTGAGAACAAGTCTGGGAGAGGGCCTGGGGACTCTGAAAACGTTAAAGTTCCTCAAAATATTCTCGCCATCTACCCAATACCTCCGTCTCCCCATCTACTAACTCCCCTACTCTGTTTTTAACTGACAAATCCATTCATTCCCTAGGCTTTCTTAACTTGTTTAACTCACTCCAATTTTTTTTCTTATTTTCATTAAAATTTCTTGACATTGCCTCTCCCACTCTATCATCCACTCTCCTTTTGCACTCTCTCACCACTTTCTTCACCTTTCTTTTTCTCTCCATATACTCTACTCTTCTTATAACACTTCTGCTTTGTAAAAACCTCTCATAAACTATTTCTCTTTTATCAGACCCTTTACTTCATCATTCCACCAATCACTCCTCTTTCCTCCTCCACCCACCCTCCTATAACCACAATCTTTTGCCTCACATTCTAATACTGCATTTTTAAAACTATTCCAACCCTCTTCAAACCCCCCCCTTTTTCCCCACTACTCATTCTTGCACCAGCCCACCTTTCTGCCAATAGTTGCTTATATCTCACCCAAACTTCCTCCTCCCTTAGTTTATACACTTTCACCTCTCTCTTACTTGTTGTTGCCATTTTCCTCTTGTCCCATCTTCCTCTTACTCTAATTGTAGCTACAACTAGATAATGATCCGATATATCAGTTGCCCCTCTTTAAACCTGTGCATCCTGGAGCCTACCCATCAACCTTTTATCCACCAATGCATAATGTAACAAACTACATTCATAACGTGCTATATCATACCTTGTATATTTATTTATCCTCTTCTTCATAAAATATATATTACTTATTACCAAACCTCTTTCTTCACATAGCTCACTTAAAGGCTCCCCATTTTCATTTATCCCTGGCATGCCAAATTTACCTACTACTCCCTCCACAACATTTTTACCCACTTTAGCATTGAAATCCCCAACCACAAGTACTCTCACACTTGGTTCAAAACTCCCCATGCATTCACTCAACATTTCCCAAAATCTTGCTCTCTCCTCTACACTTCTCACTTCTCCAGGTGCATATACGCTTACTATAACCCACTTTTCACATCCAACCTTTATTTTACTCCACATAATCCCTCTTTTCCTGCCATAGCTTTTCCTTCAACATTATTGCTACTCCTTCTTTAGCTCTAACTCTATTTGAAACCCCTGACCTAATCCCATTTATTCCTCTCCACTGAAACTCTCCCACCCCCTTCAGCTTTGTTTCACTTAAAGCCAGGACATTCAGCTTCTTCTCATTCATAACATCCACAATCATCTCTTTCTTATCATTTGCACAACATCCACACACATTCAGACATCCCACTTTGACATTTTTCTTCTTATTCTTCTTTTTAGTAATTATTACGTGAAAGGGGGTTACTAGCCCATTGTTCCTGGCATTTTAGTTGACTTTTACAACACACATGGCTTATGGATATAAAAGGAAAAGTAATAAGAACAAGAACTATTAAGATAAAATCAAAGAAAACTCAGATGAGTGTGTATAAATAAACGTGTACATGTATGTGTAGTGTGACCTAAGTGTAAGTAGAAGTAGCAAGACGTACCTGTAATCTTGCATATTTATGAGACAGACAAGACACCAGCAATCCTATCATCATGTAAGACAGTTACAGGCTTTCATTTTACACTCACTTTGCAGGATGGTAGTACCTCCCTGGGTGGTTGCTGTCTACCAATCTACTACTACTATTTATGGTTCATAATTATTTAGTAGCTGCTCAAGGTACAGCTCTGTTTACCTGATATATTCGTGTGTTGACATCTGAATAAGTAAAATTAGCATATTTTTGCCATACAGATGAATCTGTGGTTAAAGATGGTGCTTGTGCACGAGTGGATGTTCCAGCTAATCGTGTTGTGTATGCACCAACTGGGCCTCTTAACCGTGACTATGATGATGTGCGAAGGTTTGCAGATGCTGCTGCATCTGGAATTAAAAGGTCATTGCTACACCTTGCATGTTTTTCTTGTCTATATTTAACTATACAGAAAATATCTTTTTAACCCGTAAATGGTCCAAACGTATATATACGTTTTTTCAACATTTGAAAGTATGTAAAAAAAAGTAGATCTTTTTTTTTTTACATTTGAAAACGTGTAAAATAACTTCGATCTACCTTTTTTTTTTGTTCTATTTGAAAATATGTAAAAAAAGGTAGATCTACTTTTGGAGCACTACGCATATGAACGTAGATCTGCTTGGACCGTTTATGGGTTAAATGTGCAGTATAGCTCAGTAAAATTTCCATTTAATGTACCCTGATTTAATGAATTTTGGCTTTAATAGACAAAAGCTGTGGCTGGACAACATTCAGAAGTAATGGACAGTCTGTTAAATCGAGAATTGCTTGTTATTCTTGCTGTCTGCTAGGTGAATTTGTTTTGGAATTAATGGAGTTTGTCCATTAAATCAGAATTCCCCATTATTTTTATGAACAATTCTGGATTTATCAGACCAAGTCTGTTAAATTCAGGGTTATCCATTATTGTTGCAGTCTGCTGGGCAAATGTATTTGTGGATTTAATTGACTTGGTCATTAAATCTGTTACTAACTCACGAAATCATAATACAGTGGAACCCCGGATTTCATACTTAATCCGTTCCAGCAGGTCGATTTAAATCCAAAACATATGAAAATCGAAGTAATATTTCCCGTGAGAAATAATGTAAATACAATTAATCTGTTCCAGACATCCAAAAATATTAACAAAAAATAAATTAAGTTAGTAATAGAACTAGGCATTTAAAAGCACAATAAAAAGTAAAATACAGTGTACATACACAGTACATTCATTACTTACCTTAAAATATTTGTAATCTTAATGTAGAGCGAGAGATGAGTAGTATTTGTAGGAAGTCAATGTAGGTAGCCGGTAGGTGTAGCCTAGGCTACCTACGCTGCAGCCCAGAGCCACATTATTACCATCGACATACCATGTTCACTGAGAAATAATGAATAGTTCATGCCGAGAATTGTAAACAAAAGCTTATGTATTAAGGACGGTGACTGGGCCAGATACAGATTCATAGAGTTATCTCTAATGCTGGACCAGAGAAAATGTAATGTTTTCCCTACACCGATCCACCCCTCGATAGCATATAAACTTTCATGTTTATATGCTATGTAACATGTTGTTACGTTGGGGCCCCTTATTACTTTGATAGTAAGGTTCTCACTACATGTTCTAGTGTGGGGTAGCTTTTTACTTAATGGCCTTATCTGTCTAGGGGTAATACTTACATTATGACTGATCATCCTGAGTGTCTCTGATATCCTTTCACCAGCCCTCTTCACAGGTTATGTAAACTACACTAGGAAACCCAAATTAATTTACTTTTTAAATAATGTTGGGTCCTATAGCCCCATAACACCCCCACCTCCAGACGAAGTCTCACAAAAGCTAGCCGTGTCCCTCAGGATACGGCTAGTAAAAAGTATATTGTTTTAAGTTAAAGGCGGTAAACAAATACTAGAAATCCTATTTTCCCCCAGCACCATAATACTCTTCATTACTGTTATTTACAACAATTCAGAATTTTTTAAAAAAAATTTAACCATACCCATATACTAAAGGTGAAACTATTTACAATTTTTAGTGATTTTTAAACAATACACATTACAAGCAAGAATTGCAACATGCCACGTAAACCCCGCACCCAGGCTTCCTCTGCGGGGTAACCCAGCAAGCAACTGGTACTCCAGGTGGCTCTTCTGATGGGGGGAAAGAGTAGAGCCAAACCCAGAGCAGTCGGGGTTTGTACACCAGGCAGGAAACTTCACAAAACTTCAAGGTGTCCCATTTGGGGGCCGAACCAAACAGTGAACTTCATCAACCCCCTCACACCCTTAACATGGTCAGGCACTAAAACCCTCTTCTGGGTCCCCTCCAACAGATCCCCAAATTATAAGAGGGGCGACATAAAACATGGGGGGGGTCCGGGGGAACCACAAAGGAAAAACGTCGAGCCGTTTTGTAATAGAGCACCCCAAAGACACAACACAAAACCTTTCCCTAAGTCTCTGTTACCAAAGGGTTGTAAACCACTGCCCTCAACTACATTTTACGTACACCCTGACCCTCGTCCCCTTTTTGGCTCCGTTCGACTTTCCGTCAAGGCGGTGGGGGGAACTCAGGCTCCCCGAGAGTTCCCCACGCAAAAAACAAAAAGGTCAGCACATGAAAAAACACTATGTACAAAGTACGCCACCATCATTACATGAAACTTAAAAGGAGCACAGAAACCACATTCTCTGAGCCTTTTATATATTTGACTTCCAAAAAAAAGGGCTGTAGGAACAAAGCCCATTTTAAGAGTCTGATTTTAGTAACCATACACAGGAACGGGATGAAGAAATCCTGAGACATGTACAAATGCTAAAATACCCACCCCAAAATAAAAAATTTTTTTTTCCCCTGGGTAAAATGTTACATTTAAACTTAAAAGTTGTTCATAATAGAAACAGTTCGCAACCTCTCGAGTGAAATAACAACACCAAAGAACTTTTTCACCCGGGTTTGGTACATCAAGTTTACAAAAATACCTCACTTCCATCCACACACAAATTTTAAGACACAAAAACACAATTTTTGCATTGACACATTAAAATGAAAGGAACCCCAGGCCATGGAAATACATCTTCCTGCCCTATATTTTAGTTTTTTTTTAAAATGTTTCATTCTTAGTGCATAATATCAATCTTTCAATCCTGAAAACCTATTGTTAAATTATTTTGTGGTATCAGTATTTATGCCCAGGGGGGGCCATCTATTTGGGAACCAGAAGCATGGGAATCCCACTGATCTCACAAGAAATACAAACGGTTTTTGGAAAAATTTTCACTTTTTCCCTCCATCCCCCAATTTTTCATACGATTTTTCCCACACAAAAATTTTTGAATGGCTCAGCTTCCTTAAAAATCTTTCATGGAGTTTCCTTTTTTTCCCCATTACTGACACCCCCAAACTTTTATAAATTCCAAGGGGCGACCAATCCCAACATTTTTCAAATTTAAAAACCAAGCATGCTTTTCCCCAAAATCCTTTTACACACATGTTATTTCTTAAATACACTTTGGTTTTTTCATACAGATTTGTTTTTCGCCTTTTAAAATTCCCATTAAACTTTTGTTCTTAAATTTTTTGCATAACTTCAAACCTTTAACCGGTTACTGTGACACTAAACCATTCTTTCTTGTTTGGGGGTGGGTTTTATATCAAAACCCCTGGAATTTCCCCCAAAACATTTCACTACAGCAACATGCCTACGATTTTCACATGAATTGGCCCAGTATCACATTTCCCTCTCCAGCCTCCGGGTTCATGTCCACATTATGGCCCCACATCATCCTGGTCGGTTGATGGGCCGTTCACTGGTACCACCCACCTCATACACCCCAAACAGGTCTGAAATTTAGAAAAACCCGGGGGGGAGCATCACCATCCCCCCCCAACCCAATAGTCAAGATTCCAGAGTGCTTCTCCACCGCAAAATACAAAGAAAGGGACCCTCTCACCCCAGTTGTTATATTGTCTATACCATGGTTTGCATCATTGTCTTGAGGGTTTGATGAATTTCCTATTTCCCCTTGAGAGGGAGTGATACCAGTTGAACACTGAGGCTTACTTTTAGCCCCTTCAAACATTTCTAAAAACTTTGAGGTAAAGTTAGGCCCTTTTCTGTTTGTGCGCTTGAGGAAAATCAACATGAAAAAAGAAAAACCCTCAAAACCTTTAGGCTATCCCCTTTTCCCTTTTTTTTCCCCCCACGGTTTTGAAAAATATATAAAAATTAATTATTCTAATGAAGTACAAATTTAAATTGCCCCAATTTTTAAAAAAAAAAATAAGGCCCCCAAGGTTATTCCAAAAATTTTCCCTTTTTTTTGAAAAACCTTTGGGTAAAGTTTTTTCAACCAAATACCCGGGATGGTGAAACTTAAAAAAACCCACCCCGGGAAAAATTCCCCAAAGATAGAAAAACCCAATTATTGAAGGTCCCCAAAGGAAAAGTAGAAAAAAGAACCCCCCCCCCACAAAAAAAAATTTTTCCCCCCAACCCCGTTTCCACAATTTACCCCCCTTTTCTTTTTTTAAAAAGAAAAAAAAACTTTTAAAAATTTTTTTTAAAAATTTAGTTTTCTTAAAGGAAATTTAAAGAAAAATTCCCCCGCCTCCCTTAAGGTCCCCCATTTTAAAAGACCCCTTTTCAAAAAAAATTTTAGGTGTTTTTTAAAAAAATTTGGGGCCTTCCCCCCATTTTTTTTAAATTTAAAAAATTCATAATATTTAAAAAAAAGGGTTTTCAAAGAAGGAAAAAGGGGGGGAAGGGGACATGTTGGGGAAACCCCCCCCTAAAAAAAAGGTTCAGGTTAAAATACCGGGTTTTTTCCCTTCCTTTTCCACCCCCCGGCCCAAACTGTCCCAAAATCTGTTTTTTTTGTCTTTTAAATTCTAAAGGGACTTTTCACTGACATTTTGAAAAAGGGTTTTTCACTTGGGGATTTTAAAAAAGGGTTTTAACCCGGGGATAAAAAAAACCCGAAAAATTTCCTTTAAAAATTTTTGCTTTTTAGACTTGGGCCTTCCCAAAACCGGTTCATTAAAAAAATTAAAAAAGAAATTTAAATCCATGGTAAGGGTCAAAAATCCAGGCTTTAATTTTAAAAAAACTTTTTGAAGTGGCTCTCTTGGGGCCTGGGTTTTTCCCCCTTTCCCCGTTTCCCCCTTGATGGTTTAAAAAAGGTTTTAAATTGATTTAAGGACGTGCTTTTAAAAACCCCCCAAAACCCCCCCCCCCTTTCCCGGTCCCTAATTTAAAGGGCCCAATTACTTTTTCCTCAGTTCTTGAAATTTTTTTTTGATTTACAACCCTGAATAAAATTTTTGGTGTTAAATTTAAATAAATTTAAAAACTTTTTTTTAAAAAAATTTCAATTAAATAAATAAGGTTGTTTGGGTTTTTAAAAATTA